ACTTGCACGACGCCCGCACCTGCTCGCTGACCGCGCCCGAAACGCACGCCCGCTGCACCCGATGACCGAGACCCGCGCCCCGTCCGTTCGTGATCTGTTTGATGAGTTGATTAGAATCAACTAAAGGCAAAACCTATCCGCCCATTAGGTTTTGGTGTTCAGACGAACTTCACCAACGGTACTCTACATCGTCTCAGAGTCGGCAAAAAATTTTAAAAGGTAAACGTCCATATCCTAACTATAGATTCTGCTGCGTTAGGATTTATTTCGATAAAGTTCAATACTGTGCATGTTGTTTGACGTTCCTAACAGAACCCAATATAGAGTTCGCCAAATAAACACTAGAGTTCGATTAAATCAAGATGGATAGATCCTAAGCCCCAAATCACAAGTTCATCACGAGTAGTTTCATTACTACAAGTGAATCAATTACATAACAAGTATTTTCATTAATACTTTAGGCAAAACATACCTTAAGCAGCGCGGAGTGACGGAGACGAGTGGTCATAACACGAGGTCAAAACACATAACTACATCTTAAACCAGTCTACAGAAACGCAGACTGGCTCTGATACCAAACTGTAACACCCCACTTTGATTTTAAAGAAATACCGGACTTTTCAAAAATCAGTATAAAATTTTTCGAACTCATTTTCGAAAACATGGGCGTTATTCAACATTCAACATCAACCAAGTCGTATATGGTTGTCCACATGGTTTTCATTAACCTTTTTAAAATTTAATACCACATGTTTCTAGCAAGCATAATCGAATCCACATGATAATCCATAATAACTTTCATACGAATATCGAACAAAGGGTCGAAAAATCCCGACACTGACAAGTTCGAAAATAGTTCAACATGTCTCAAAGACCACACATTATTCATAAGGCAGCGGAATCATTAACATAATAATCATGACCAACCCACTCGTCTTTTCCCGTCATCCTGCACCTGCTTAACCTGCACCTGTGAAGAGCAGGTGGGAGTGAGCACAAGATGAATATCGTGCTCACTACTATGCACATAAATAATATATGACAATGGTACGGTCGCAGCATGAATATAAGATAATCACATATTTTCTCATCTCCTATCAAAATCACAACAACCACATTACTCATGTGCACATCTATCGCTAGCCGCAGAACGGGGATTCATTACCCGAAGGCAGGAGTACATGCCACGCTACAGACACGACCTTCCATATAGGCTTACGTACCTCGCAAGGGCACGGCCATATCAGGACTTAAGAAGACTTGCCTCGCAAGGGCAACCGTATTACATCGACGGGGACAACCGTACTGACGG